CTTTCCCTTTCAAGTGCTCAAAAATGACAACGGAGTCTGGAAATATCATGGCTCAGCTGTTACACTCGGGTTTGTTTTGTGCAGCCGATTCGAATGTTATCATTTGACTGATTGGGCGTTATCAGCTGATAGTTATGGGCCAGTAGGGGCTCGGAAGGCTGTTTTCATCCATCCACATGGTTAATCAGCTATACTAATAGAGAAGACTCCAGCTCCAGATCGGTTTTTACATTACTGTGATGGTTTTGTTTCTCGTTAACTTCCGGCTGCAACTGTATGTGATCTATAGCTGATTAACCATTTGGATGGATGATTACAGCCTTCTGAGCCTACTAGTAGGTGCAGAAGGCCCCTACTGGCCCATTAGCTGATAACTACTGATAACGCTCATTCAATTGAGTGATACCATTCAAATCGGCTGGTTTGGTAACAGTGACTTTTTTATTTATTTGGTTATTTCGGTATAGCTGCAGAAATGTGATTGATATTTATTTCGCTGAACGATTTACTGAAGTCAACATGAAATCATCAAACTTGCACTGTTTACTTTCCTGATGCACTCCTTTTTTTTTTTGGTTTGTTTCACTCTCAGCGCACGTTATTTTTAAATATATTGCTTGTATGAAAAGATTTGTACTTTTCAGCTTGCAACTTAAGCCAGTGCAGGCTGTCGGATAATGTTGAACTGATATTTAAAGTGACGGTTCACCCAAAAATGAAAATTTGCTGTTAATTTGGCCTTATAAGATGTGGATGACTTTTTCTTCCATGGAAAAATAAAGAAGATTGGGTCACACTTTACAAGAAGGTTCCATTAGTTAATGTATTTTCTAACATGAACAAACAATGAATATATTGAGAAAGCCAACATACTGGTATACTACAAACCTCCAAAGTAGTCTGACTCGGGTTGCTATATCTTTTTCAACTGATCAGACTTATGATTTTCCGAAAACTGAGTTATTAGCCACACCCTAGCAACCACTTACCGCACCCTAGCAACTGTCCCCTAGACTTCCATTGTAGAAAACTGCCATTGACTTTACATTCACATACTAATAACATACCAATTCATACTGACAGTATACTAATCAATACTTGTAACCTACTAACGACGTACCAATCCATACTAGAAACATACTAATCCATACTAGAAACACACTAACAAACATACAAACAATATACTAATTCATACTAGCAATATATCAATCCATGCTAAAAACATACTAACAATCATACTAATCAAACTAGCAACATGCTAATTCATACTAGAAACATACTAACAACACACTACCAATATACCAATTCATACTAGCAATATATCAATCCATACTAAAACATACTAACAACAATACTAATTATACTAGCAACATGCTAATTCATACTAGAAACATACTAACAACACACTACCAATATACCAATTCATACTAGCAATATATCAATCCATACTAAAACATACTAACAACAATACTAATTATACTAGCAACATGCTAATTCATACTAGAAACATACTAACAACACACTACCAATATACCAATTCATACTAGCAATATATTAATCCATACTAAAAACATACTAACAATCATACTAGCAACATGCTAATTTATACTATAAACATACCAACAATGTGCTAATTCATGTTAGAAACATACTAACCATATATACTAATCCATACTAGAAACACACTATTAATATACTGATCCATACTAGCAATAAATCAATCCATACTAAAACATACTAACAACAATACTATTTATACTAGCAACATAATTCATACTAGAAACATACTAACAACATGCTAATTCATACTAGAACGAACTAACGACGTACCAATCCATACTAGCAATATATCAATCCATACTTAAAACATACTAACAATCATACTAATCATACTAACATCATGCTAATTCATACTATAAACATGCTAACAACATGCTAATTTAAACTAGAAAAAACAAATTGACTGAAGTTAGCCTGTTGAGTATGTATTATGTTGTCATTTATATCATTAGCCTACTAAAAGGGCCTGAATATTTTTTTAATAGCCTGTTATTCTTATCTGCCATTTATTTTGTCCTCGTCTTAACAATGAAGCATTGGGAATTGATTACATTTAACCTTGAACTCCTATTTAGTTGAGGATATTAAGTTAATTTAGTTATCTAATAACGATTTACAGTTAGTTGTCAGTTAATTAGGCTAATAATATTTCCTTCGGCTTAGTCCCTTTATTCATAAGGGGTCGCCAGAGCGAAATGAACCGGCAACTTATACAGCACATGTTTTACGTAGCGCATGCCCTTCCAGCTGCAACCCAGTACTGAGAAAAACCGTCGTGTTGGCATAGGTTTTCTCCTGGTGCTCTGTTTTCCCCCACATTCCAGAGACATGCTCGATAGGTAAACTGGGTAAACAAAATTTACCTTAGAGTATGAATGTGAGTGTGCATGGGTCTTTCCCAGTACTGGGTTGTGGCTGGAAGGGTATCCGCTGCGTAAAACATATGCTGGAATAGTTGGTGGTTTATTCTGCTGTGGTGACCCCTGATAAATAAGGGACTAAGCCTAAGAATAAAAAAAATGAATCAATCAACACAATTCTTAAGTTTTTTGGGACAAATTCTGTTTTGTGCTAAATCCACTTGAAAATATATATATATATAAAAATAATCAAGTTAGCATGAGCCAATTTGTGTTGCGACAACAGGAAGGACTTAAGCTAACTTTATTCAGTTTTGCAAATGAAATTGGATTGAACATAATACAATCAAGAAGTCCCAATAAACCTTAAGAAGTGTGTGGTTTCAGCTTATTTTAGACAAGCAGTTTGAACAAACAGCAAACGTCATGTTTTTAAAGTGTACCATGTACTGTTATTATATTAAATTATCCTTCAAGCTATTTATTTATTTGGCCAAAGTTAATATTAGTAAATTAAATATTTCATGTAAATAGTTTTTTAAAGTATGGCAAAAAATGGAATCATAAATCATTTCAAAAAACCAAAATTCATCCATTGTCATTCAAATCGATTAACTTAACTTGTTTTTTTTACCAATATATATTTGAACATAAAACAATTAAGCTGTCCCCAAAGAAATGTCAAGAATTGTATTAATTCAGCTCATTTACATAAGTAGTCTGAATCAGCTGGAAAAATCTTTTTTTGATTGTAATTATATACAGTTTGTCATATTTGACAGTGAAACTGCAACTTCACTTCAACAATTCATTCATTCATTCATTTTCTTTTCGGCTAAGTTCCGTTATTAATCAGGGGTCGCCACAGCGTAATGAACCACCAACTTATCCAGCATATGTTTTACGCAGCGGATGCCCTTCCACCCTTAATCCCATCTCTAGAAAAACTTCAACATTCCATATGTGTTTTTGACTGTCATACACTGTACAAAATAGAACAACATAAAGGAATTAAGTTAGCTTATTAGTTTTTCACAAATTTAACATTGAACATATTATAGGATTGAACATAAAATAAATAAGTTGTCACAAAAAAAACGTATGAATTGTGTTGTTTCAGCTCATTTTAAACAAGCAGTTTGAACAAACAGCAAACTTGATGTTTTTAAGTGGACAGTGTACTTCTATTATATCGAATTATCCTTAAAACAATTTGTTTATTAGGGCAAAGTTAATATTATTAAATTCAATACTTCAAGTAAATATTTTATTAAAGTATGGCAAAAAATGAATCATAAATCATTACAGAAAACCTCCAGTACAGTAAAAAAATAAATGTTTCCACATTATTCATCCATTGTCATTCAAATTGAACAAGTTAACTTAATAACTTAATTATTACAAATATAAGTGGATTAAACATAAAACAATTAAGTTGTCCAAAAATGTCAAGAATTGTTCATTCAGCTCATTTTATATAAATAGTTTGAATATATATATATATTTTAAATGAAGTTATAAACATTTTGTCACATTCTGTCATATATCACAGTGAAAATGCAACGTCAACATCCCATATGTGTTTTTGACTCTCATACACTGTACAAAATGTTCAGTTCCACACAATCGATTTGTGTTGGGACAACATGAAGGAATTAAGGCTGATTTACACTTCTGCGTCAAGCACACGAGTATGCTCCAGCGCAGCCTTCGCACTGTCGCAGACCCCTCGCCGTTACCCCTCGTTGCACTGACGGCAATGTTGACGCTGACACTCACCTCTCAAAAAATGTAACTACACGTCACAACGATGCGTAGTGCAAGCTTTGTGATTGGTCAGTTTGGTATTAATGACGAGTGTGGGGGGTGCTGAGAGCCACAAGCCAGATGGAGCGAGTGTTCACAAGTAGCGAGTCTCATGAAGGAGCTTCCTAAGGAAACTTGTGTTGAGTCTTTACCTTATGATTAAAGTTGATACATGTCTGCTGGTTTCCGCCTGCGAATGAGTGAGTTAGAGCTTCTGGTACATTAAGGAAGCGCTCAGAAAAAAAACAAAGCACCCATGAAGAAATTCGACAAACCTACTGCCAGCTAGTGTTTTGAAGTGTTATTGCAGAGCAACACAAACCGCACGCAGAAGTATTAATACACGACTACATGCAAGGCATGTGCTTTGGACGATCATTTGATGAAGAAGTACAGTATAAATCAGCCTTTAAGCTTATTAGTTTTTACAAGTTTAAGTGGATTGAACCTAAAACAATTAAGTTGTCTCCAAAAATATCAAAAATTGTGTTGTTTACGCTCATTTTAAATAAGTAATTTTAACAAACAAGCAACAACCATCGCTTTTTGAGTGCAGACCATGGTTTCAGCTAAAAAACTTCATTAATGTTGTCTCATCACCTACATCCTGGATGGATTGAGGAGGAGTAATTTAACAGCGAATGTTCATTTTTGAGTGAACTGTCCCTTTAAGGAAGTAAAATGGGTTGCAGATGATGTTTCATGTTGACTAAAAGACTCGAGTTGTCACTGAACTGCTCTAATAAGAGCTTTCTGATTTGCTGATTCTCACAGGTTATGAAAGCTTGGAGGACAACTACGTCCAGGACAGTAAGATGGGTTTCGTCATCAATGCCATCTACGCCATGGCTCATGGTCTTCATGATATGCATGAGCACTTGTGTCCGGGTCACGTGGGTCTGTGTGAGGAGATGGACCCCATCGACGGCAGCAAACTCCTGGACTTCCTCCTCAAGACCTCATTTGCTGGTGTTTCTGGGGAAGACGTGTGGTTTGATGAAAACGGGGACTCGCCAGGCAGGTCAGTGTTACTTAATGGCCTACCAACGCAATCTCACAGCAATTCGTAACTTTTTGATTTAGTGGCTAATTCGTATGAATTCTAATTCGTGCAATTTAGTTTGATATGCTCATCTCCCAATGAATGTTGGGTTTAGGGGTGGGTTTGGGAGCCACGCCCCCTTTTTAAAATCATACGTTCATCTGGCTGAACTCGTACAAATTCGTACGAATTAGCCACTGAACTGACAAATGTAAAATACTTATGTTTTCTCGTGAGATCAGTCTGGGCCTACATAAGGAGCAACGGAGTGAATGCAACATATTGAGATTCAGGCCATTAAAAACAGCTGAGTCCTTTAGCACTCTCTCTGAAAACACTCGATTGATCTCAGCTGATGGATCAACATTCACCACATGATCGCTCTCAACAGCGCCATTGTGTGTAACTTTAGGTGGGTTTGGAAACATGTGCACTTTTCATTGTGTCTTCCCTAAACTTGAGCCGTTTGCATTTCCCGCGGTCACAGAAGCTCCCTGTCATCTCAAATTTCAGGTGTTGGTTTATTCAATAACTCCTTTTAATGTGGAGAATATTCCTTCTATCGTGTGCCGTTGCTTTTTATTTTTTTATTTGGTTGGCTGGTTTAAGCTGGTTGATCAGCCTGGTTATAGAGGGGTTTTGGCAACTTTCAGGCTGGTTTCCAACCATTTCCAGTCTGGTCTTAGCTTTTTAGGCTGGAAAGTGACCAGCTAAAACCAGCTTGACAATCCTGGTTTAAGCTGGACAGAGCTGGTTTTGGGTGGACTCCCAGAGTGTCTTTAGGCTGGTCAAGCTGGTTTTACCTGTTCATCTCCCAGCCTGTCCAGCTGGTTTTAGAGGGGTTTTGGCCATTTGAAACCAGCCTGGTCTTAGCTGGTCAGGCTGGGAGATGACCAGCTAAAACCAGCTTTACCAGCCTAGCCAGGCTGGGAGCCCAGCCAAAACCAGCTATGTCCAGCTTACACCAGGCTGGTCAAGCCGGTTTTAGCTGGATTTAGCTGGTGATTTTCCAGCCTGACCAGCTAAGACCAGGCTGTAAAAGGGTGGAAACCAGCCTGGAAATGGCCAAAATCCCTCTAAAACCAGCCTGGTCGACCAGCTAAAACCAGCCAACCAGCCTAGGCTGGTTCAAGCTGGATTTTTCAGCAGGGCAGGCACACTCCTGTTGGTCCTCAATCTGGCAACCTGCGCTTGCAATCCTGCACCTTTAAGAATTTGCATGACATGCAAACCAAATGTTTTTCAGTACGAATACATGTATCTCTGCACTGGTTTTGCTTGGCTATAAGTGATCTAAAGTTGTTGTTTTTTTCTTTTTTGAAGGTATGACATTATGAACCTGCAGTATGTAGAGCCTGGAGTCTTCGACTATATAAACGTAGGCTCGTGGCATGAAGGCATTTTGAGCATCGATGATTATATGATCCAGATGAACCGCAGTGAGATGGTCCGTTCTGTCTGCAGCGAGCCCTGCTCCAAGGGAGAGATCAAGGTGTGTTTATATATATCTATTTATCACCACAAAATGGCTTGATTTCCATTCCATCAGATGCCCTTTACAATATATCGCAAAAGTGCATATGACCCATTCCAGAATTACACGCATTTTCTGTTCATTTATGGTATACAACAAATGTAAAAATAACAGAAAACTAACTCCATTATTAATGTAAAATATTGCTAAAGGCATAAGTATGATAGGGAAGATTTGATTTCGTTACTATTTTTCTGTTCCTGGATATCCTAGATCAACCTTCCAGCAAAGTTGAGCTCCAACCCTGATCAAACACACCTGAACCAATTAATTAGGACCTGAACAGCACTTGATAATTACAGGCAGGTGTGTTTGATATGAGTTGCAACTGAAATCTGCAGGAAGGTCGATCACCAGGTTCAGGGTTGGTCACGCCTGTTTTAATCCACAACAGAGTTGACAATAACAAAGTTGACATTTTACACCATTTTGTGCATTAGGTCAAGATGCTAACCTCAAAATAGACACAACTAGATTTTTTGCGGCGCGGTAATACATTTCCAAATAAAATGTGGTAGCAATAGGTAATTGGTGTAATTTAAATGGGAGCGGGCGATTTAACAATATATCGTTTCCAATGTTATTTCCTCATTCTTATTGAACACCGGTGCAGCCAGAGTTCACTTGACTGTTACACATGCTGAACACATGACCAGTGCTTTCTGCACATGCTTTTTAGGCCCCGTTTACACTAGTGCGTTTTAGTTTTAAAATGGCGTTTTAGAATGAAAACGATCCGTTTCCACACTAGCGTTTCACCCAGCATTTCTGAACAGCTCTCCGCCTACATTAAAAACGGTGAAAACGCACATCACGTGACCACACACACACAGACACGCACACTCTGGCATGTGCTGCAGTGTGCTTTGAGCACATACCCATATGGGAGCTGTGCACGTCGGACTGTTCATCAAGGATCTCTCGTTGGATCTAATCTCATTATATTTGTTAAACGTGATATTTAATTTACCTTGTTGTCTATATCTAACAACATATTTCCTGACTTTGGTCTTTTGAATCTATTGCTTGTTCTCAGTTAATGTGTTTTAGCTGAGCGCAAGTATAAGTTAGGTTAATATCTTAATGTCACTGCGTACACCGACTTATTCTTAACTTATAACTATGTTATGCTTTTAAAATGGCCATTATTGATTATTAAAACTGATATTTAGGCAAAGAGAGGGTATGTTTCGTTTTTTCAATGAAAATGAAAGGAGGCAGTGATGTTATAGACACCGTTTTATTATAAAAATGCATGAAGATTTACTCTGGCACAGTGTTGACGGATGGCGTAACCCTAGAAAAACGTATGCGTTTTAAACACGGCCTTATACACAAAGTCTGTGCGCACATCATCTACATAACGGTCCTCAGAGCAGGCTTTACCAACATGGGAGAGCAAAGCCATCTTTCAGCTTGCATTAGAAAGAGGTCTGTTTACTGTTAGGAAACCTTCATCAGGCAAGTCTGATGTATGGAAGTCTTTTTCATGCTTCATAGACACAAATGGGAAAAAAAATACTCTTTGGACGATGTGATAAATGCCTCAAAGCTTTACCCTTTAGCAGTCACAAGACTGGAACCTTTAAGACTGGTTTAAGGCGGCACTCATGTCTTATCAAAAAGGGGCAAACAAAACATTTCCTAAATCTTTGCAGGTGCCGGAGCTGTTTAAAAAAGAAACCACTGACAAATGTGTTAAGTTTGCTTGCCAAGAAATTCAACTGTATGATACTTTCTCTGGAAAAGGCTTCACACAGCTGTTAATGTTAAAAGCATCGTGACAAGACCAATAAAAATACATACAATCCTTGCACAACCTACAGTTTTATCTGTTAACTCTCTCTTTTGGTAGTACCCAGGGCAACCGGGGGGGACAGGGGGGTATGTACCCTTCACTTTTAGAGACAGACAATTTAGAAACAGGTGATTAGTATTTATGTGAACGTAAACTTTTGGATCTCATACAGCTGTCCCGCCCACTTTTAAAATGTCCGCTACATCTCTGTATCCAATTTAAATATGGGTTTTGGAAACAATCAGGTCTAAATTTAGCGGGAACTGTTGGGTAGGGTAGAAAATTCTTCTAAGCAGGCAGCGATTGAACAAAGACTGAATATACAGCAGGAACGGTCGGGTGCGGAATAAAACCTGGCGAGAGCGGGACTAAAAAAAACAGTCCCGCACAGACCTCTACCTCAAACCAGATATCGCAGTACTGTATGTCTGTAAAAAAATCAATACAAATTATTTATTTTTATTCATCTTATTATAGTTTTAGGAAATTGACTGAAATATCAACATCAACATCATATCATCAACATATCATCATCAACATCATCAATATCAACATCAACATCACAACATCAGAGGTGACAAATAACTAATCTACTATCGGTGTATCAAGAGTAAACTAAACAGTTTGCACAAATGAATCAGAGATGAATAATAACTTGCCTCAATGCTTTCCAGAGTTTCCCGCCAGAGGAAGTGACATCACAAGTAGCAAGTCACATGCTTTTTCTAGTACATATATAAAGATTGTCAAGGCTTTTTTGACCAGGAAAGACAGACACACTTTTTTTAGATAACATAAATTATTAATGCAATAGAAATTATGTTTTTTGATTCATGCAAATGTTTATTTAACTTAGTAAATTAAACACAAAAATAATATGAAAATTTGACTTCATGATAATTACAGCTGACGTATGATTCAGAAGGCAGAGTCAAACACATACATTATTAATTAGAGATACCTTGATATATTCATTCATTCATTTTTTTTCAGCTTACTCCCTTTATTCATCAGGGGTCGCCCCAGTGGAATGAATCGCCAACTTAGGGTTATGTTTTACACAGCGGATGCCTTTCCAGCTGCAACCCAGTCTGAGAAACACCCATACCCAGAACTTTTTGCTGTGAGGCGACAGTGCTAACCACTGAGCCACTGTGCTGCACTGTACCTTGTGTTAATGTTCAGAAGTGTTTCATAAATTATTTTGTTTTTGTAAAATAACCAAAAGTTTACCATGGAGATGGAAAATTTACCCGCAATACTAGAATCACTCGTATGTGTAATGTGTTTATATTTCTTCACAGGTGATCAGGAAAGGAGAGGTGAGCTGCTGTTGGATCTGTACACCTTGTAAGGACAATGAATATGTCCAGGATGAGTTTACCTGCAAAGCCTGTGAATTGGGATGGTGGCCGGATGAAGAGCTGCAAGGTAATTCATCGACATTAGCCACATTCTATTCCGCCAATCTGATTTCATCAAGTGGGACATGTTAATGGATAAACATCTGTGTTGATGCTGGAACAACATTCTAATCAGCCAATCAGAATTAAGAGTTTACCATTTATGTTAGAGAGGCTTGTGGTTTTTACACTTCTACACTACCTTCTACAAAGTCTTGTTACCTATCCAAGTTTAAGGAACAACAAATAATTTGACTTATAGTTAATCATTTGGTGTCGGAAGTGGCTTATATGAAAGGCAAAGGCCTCTAGATTACACTTTTTTATTTTACCAAAATAAAATATGATCATGCCTTGAGCTTCAATTATTTAATTAGGACAGTAAGATCTGACTTTGCTTTGACAAAGGTTTTGTCACTTAACAGAAATAATGTCCAGTACAGAATATAAAGTCATGCTGCAACGGAAGAAGAATGAATATTGTGTCTGACTCCATCATGAGCTTCGAGGACTGCATCCATACATCTCTGCAATGATTCAAATCTCTTATTAATAAAGTCATCTGAAATGGCAAAGAAAGCATTCTTGCATCAAGATCTTTTGGATTCATCTTCAATGCCGCCTCCTTCATTTTAGCCCAGACATGCTCAATAATGTTTATATATGGTGACTGGGCTGGCCAATCCTGGAGCAGCTTGACCTTCTTTGCTTTCAGGATCTTTGATGTGGAGGCTGAAGTATGAGAAGGAGCGCTATCCTGCTGAAGAATTTGCCCTCTGCTGTGGTTTGTAATGTAATGGGCAGCACAAATGTCTTGATACCTCAGGCTGTTGATGTTGCCATCCACTCTGCAGATCTCTCACACGCCCACATACTAAATGTAAGACCAAACCATGATTTTTCCTTCACCAAACTTGACTGATTTCTGAAGAATCTTGGATCCATGCGGGTTCCAATAGCAGTATTTGTGATGATTGGGATGCAGTTCAACAGATCATTCATGGGGAAAATCAACCTTTTGCCACTTTTCCAAATGATCCACTAGAAGTCACGTTATTATTTGCTGCTCTTACAACATTTACATTTACATTTACATTTAGTCATTTAGCAGACGCTTTTATCCAAAGCGACTTACAAATGAGGACAAGGAAGCAATTTACACAACTAAGAGCAACAATGAATAAGTGCAATAGGCAAGTTTCAGGTCTGTAAAGTCTAAGAAGGGAAGTATTAGTAGTATTAGTATTTATTTATTTTTTATTTTTTTTGTACAGTTAGTGTGATATTCAAAGAGGCAATTGCAGATTAGGAAGTGTAGTGGAGACTAAATAGTTGAGTTTTTAGTCGTTTCTTGAAAGTAGCGAGTGACTCTGCTGTTCTGATGCAGTTAGGGAGTTCATTCCACCAACTGGGCAGATTGAGCGTGAGCGTGAGCGAAAGTGATTTCTTCCCTCTTTGGGATGGAACCACGAGGCGACGTTCATTCACAGAACGCAAGTTTCTGGAGGGCACATAGATCTGCAGAAGTGAGAGCAGATAAGAAGGAGCAAGGCCAGAAGTCACTTTGTAGGCAAACATCAGAGCTTTGAATTTGATGCGAGCAGCAACTGGCAGCCAGTGCAAACGGACTAGCAGCAGAGTGACATGTGCTTCTACAACTGCGATCGACGACAAGTCTTTTGTCAGGTAGTGTAAATAACTATAATCCAACTATAATTCCCTTCTGATTTTGGAAATAATTTACGGTTATAGTTGGGTTTAGGGGTAGGGAATAGGTATGGATTACATTTTCAAGCAAAAATTATGTTCCAGGATCAACACAGATTTTAATCCAGGATTGTTGTGGAGTTTGCATGTTCTCTCTTTGTTTTCGTGGGTTTCCTCCGGGTGCTCCGGTTTCCCCTAAAGTCCAAAGACATGCACTATAAGTGAACTGAATAGACTAAATTGTCCGTAGTGTATGAGTGTGTGTGAATGAGAGAGTGTGGGTGTTTTCCAGTACTGGTTTGCTGCTGGAAGGGCATCCGCTGTGTAAAACATATGCTGGAATAGTTGGCAGTTCATTCCTCTGTGTCGACCCTTTATAAATAAGGGAGTAAGCTGAGGGAATATGAATGAATGTTATCGATTGACCTACACAGAGTTGTTACATACAGTTTTGGTTATTTCATAGATGTGTTTTTAAAGCATAAAGCATGTGTCTGAATCATGTAAAGCATCCTCAAACAGTCCATGCAGTTGACTTTTCTCCAAATCTGGCATTAAAAACTGATTTGGCTTTTTAAAAGACCTTCACTGTCCTATTTTTTCAAAAGGTTTCCCATGACACCTGAAGGCCATTTATCATTTTTACAGATTGCTTGCACCGTACAACTTATCGCCAGTGACAGCCCTACTTCACTGCCTACTTCTCTGGCCTATTTTCATACGCTGTGATGGTCAATGTCAATGCAGCAGCCCTGAGAATGTCCTAGCAATGTATATTTCATTAGTTCACTGTAGTACACTTCCATTCTGTGCTACCACCGTAATGCTAAGGGGTTGCTGGCAACGAATTGACCCCATTTATCTTTTAAGTATTGAATTTTTGTGTTGAATCACAAACTGTTTAGCCTTATCATACATAAAAGTGTCCGGCCATCATGTTGGTAATGAGGAAGGGTGGATTTCCCTTCTCCTGCTGCAGTCTCTTAAGTCTCCTTTGGCTTGGTTCTTTCTTACGGCCGGTCCCTTAGTGGAAGGGCTGTTTATTTTTAGGTGCGCTGGAAACCTACTTTAGCGTACTTGGTGCATAAGCAAGCTGGTCACACTCTGATGGCCAGTCCTATAAAGACATGCAGCAATGTGAAAGTATATATATAGATCAAAATATCTGTTGTTGCAAATATATATATATGTATATATATATATATATATATATATATATATATGCATGCAACAACAGATATTTTGATCTCAACCCTTAGTTTGGCTTCCTAGAGTGTTTGAATTAGTGGATACATTTATAATGCACTACTTTGTATGAATGTACTGTAGTCCACATGCAGCAGAGCAGATTTGAAAAGAGCTCTGTGTTTTTCAGGGGTGCGTTTCCGAAAATCATCGTTAGCCAACTGAGGTAGCAAATTTTTTTGTTACAAACATAGTTTATTGATTTGGAGTTTCCCAAATCCATCGTTCCAACAAACATTCGCAAACTGTGTCGCAAACTTGTATGCTTGCAACTACACCTCTGGAGCTGTAGTTAGAAACATGGTTCCTGCATGGCTATGTTCTACGTATACAGTTAGACGACCCCCCCTCCCCCCACCCTCAATGCCCTATTATTTTACTACATTCTTGGAATTATAAAAAAAGAAAAGCATTAAAGTTATCACTCTTAGGTGTAATTTGCTTTCAACGTATTTTTAAAGTTCCGTTTTGGCGATATTCATTTTTACAATTGCGCTCCCTTAGCAGTGCACTTTGAAAACATTGATGTTCTTTTGAACACAGCTGTGGCTCATGATCAATTTTTATGTCACGTCTCCAAAGCTTGTGAAAACAAAAAACACAGCATACGTTAATGCTTTTAATTTATAGTAGGTTATTTATTTATAAGTATCTGTACTGTATATAACACAGGCCTGCTGGTTAGAACTTTCTGCAGTGGTTTACATGTGTCAAGCTGTAAAAGTAGACTTAAAAATAAATAAATAAATAAAAAATATCCTACTTAATAATAATCATCATCATCATCATCATTAATATTATTAATATTATTATTAAAGTCAGATTTTTTTCATTTCCTAATAAGTAATGTAAAATTTCATTTCTTAATAAATAGCCTTATTATTTATCTATTTATATGATTTATATTTGATATTTGAATACATGTTAGCCTTTGTAAGTGATTTGATGTTTTAGAATACAATATGTAATATTCTTAATAATATTTGTAAAGGAAACACAGGCTCTATATGTGTCATTTACATTTATTTAAATTAATATGGAAAGCGAGTGCATGTTTTTGCCAAAACTAATATTGAATTTTTTTTTAAATGCGTGTAGAACAATATAATTTGCACAAATTATGGGGTTCTTCTTTAAGGAAGTTGTTACTCCTCCCCTTTTAGAGCATCATTATGGGCGTTTTACGTTATAATTAAAGTAGTTCAAATGATAGATCTGCAACAGAGAAACTACAGGTTTTGGGAAACACTCGTCACTACATTGTTCTTTTCCCAAATGATGCATCATACTAGTTCAGCCGCAAGTTACGTTGTTGTTTGGGAAACGCACCCCTTATTAGCCCAGTTCAGAAATACACAGCCCCAGATTTTGTTAGTGGTTGCCTGGGTTTTTGCTAGGAGGTTAAAGGGATTGTTCACTCAAAAATTAAAATAACCAAAAAAGAAGATATTCTGAAGAATATTGGAAACCATTCCACTATTGACTTCCGTAGTAGTACTAATGACTCTCATAGTAATTTCCTTTTTTTTTTTTTTTTTTTTTTTACAATGTCTAATTATTTAGCTTTATGTTTTGTAAACAAAAAGTCTCAATTTCTCCTTTTATTAAACCTTTATAGACAGACTTATTGTTAGCTCCTTTGTTGTAAATCAATTGCATATGCTACTGTTGTAGCCATGCAGTATATTCAAAATACTTTAATTTCCTTTTAAGACCATTGTGCTTGACTGTGGAGTTTATACAGGATTACTACAATACCCATAATTTGACCAATAAAACACTGAGCAATATGCATCAAAATATATAGATAATAAGCACCACCTACTTTCACAAAAAGCTCCCTGAATGATGGTGAAGTCAATTGTCCTTTCTCTCTTAAAATACCTTTAGGTTTGTCTTTGACTGATATGTATATAAATTCTTTGCTTCAAATTATATATTGTAATGTTGTGATTCTACTTGTTGCTGGTTGGTTTGGTTCATGGCTTGTAATGTTTTTACCACCACTAGGAAAAAAATGCTGTGATAATTTAAAGGGCCATGACACCCCCCACTTTCGGTTTAAGTCTACTACAGAATTTTTTCAAAAGATGCATGATTAATGGGCGGAGATCCACGAGCATCGGGCAGGAGTGGGCGTGGCCAGCAGGGGAGAAGGTGAGCGAACAACTGTTGTTGTCAGTTAGCTCACAAAATGAGACACAAACCGTGAGAAGACGCATGAGTTTATAGTTTACAAAGTTAAAATGCAAAGAAATGAACAGTGATTTAATGCCCTGCTACATTTGTTATTTGTAATTTCATATACAGACAACTACAATTTATATCATTATAAAGATGTGTGTTCATGTAAACACTATAAATGAGGACTTCTCCCTCAATCCCCGTATCCAGCAGACTCAGTGCAGCAGGTCTCCTGACCTGTCTATTTTAACCATTAGCCCTGCTGGTAATCTGGAGGATTTAGGCAAACACAGCAGCATAGCGATGTGTCTAAATGTGAACGAACTCCTGATAAAAGACGGCGTCCGCCATTCTCTAATTCTCGTGCTGCTCTCCCGACAAAAAAGCTTGCAGCACACACACAGTTTTGCTGTATGATCGGCCCTGACAGGTGGATTATGGAAACAAACGCATATGAGCCTACATGAACGGCTAAATACTGTGCCGTGGTTTCCGTGTCTCTCAGCTCGGGCTTGACACTGGCAGGTCTGGCAGGTCTCATGAATAATTAAGCAGCCGGCTCTTCTCATAGGATAAGAAAACTCCGCTATGAATAATAATGAGAAACCGACGCGTCATCATTGCACTTGCAGTACTGCACTACGTCCCCGATTTTGATCCCGCCCTAAAAATCATTTTAAACCCGGAAGCTGAAATTAGCTGACAAAAGCTCAAAATTATCCAGTTTTCCCCACAATTAAAGCTGACAGGTGCTAACATTGTCTTAACTGATGCTCAACACACACACATCTGTTAATATAAAAAAAAAAGTTCCCGGGGGTGTCCTGAACCTTTAATGAGCTATACAAATTTTTTTTATTTGATAATATTGCCAACAGCTTAAATTTTCAGCTTTGGGATTTGGGAACTTAATGTGAAAGTCTAATGCCGAGAAATTGTATTGCACACTGCTGAAAAACACACAGCATAAGCTATCATAATACTAACACTTGCATTAGTAACACTTTAAAACACTGTCTTTGTAATCATCAATTTAATGTGTTCATTTAATCTTGTCTCTGCAGTCTGTGAGCCTCTTCCTCTGCGCTACCTGGAGTGGAGTCATCCAGAATCCATTGCGGCAGTCGTCTTTTCATGCCTCGGCATCCTAGTGACCAGCTTTGTCACCTTAGTCTTCATCCTATACCGAGACACGCCGGTCGTCAAGTCCTCGAGCCGTGAACTCTGCTACATCATCCTGGCCGGCATCTTCCTGGGTTACATTTGCCCCTTCACGCTCATCGCTCGTCCCTCAATAGCCTCCTGTTACCTCCAGCGGCTCCTCGTGGGCCTTTCTGCCTCCATGTGCTACTCGGCTCTGGTCACCAAAACCAATCGCATCGCTCGAATTCTGGCCGGCAGCAAAAAGAAAATATGCACACGCAAACCACGCTTCATGAGTGCCTGGGCGCAAGTGGTGATCGCCTTCATCCTCATCAGCATGCAACTGACTTTAGAGGTGACACTGATCATTTTGGAGCCTCCAGAACCCATCAAGTCCTACCCCAGCATCCGAGAGGTTTTTCTAATATGCAATACCAGCAATATGGGAATGGTGGCGCCACTTGGCTACAACGGTTTGCTCATTCTCAGCTGCACATATTATGCGTTTAAAACTCGTAACGTCCCTGCTAACTTCAACGAGGCCAAGTACATCGCCTTCACCATGTACACCACCTGTATCATCTGGTTGGCCTTTGTGCCGATTTACTTCGGCTCCAACTATAAGATCATCACCACGTCCTTTTCTGTGAGTCTCAGCGTCACCGTGGCTCTCGGCTGCATGTTTACGCCAAAAATGTATATAATCATCGCCAAGCCGGAGAGGAACGTTCGCAGCGCATTTACCACCTCGGATGTGGTGCGGATGCATGTGGGAGATGGAAAAATTGCGTGTCGGAGCAACAGCCTGCTAAACATGTTCAAACGCAAGAAGAACGCATCTGGAAATGCCAAGTAAGTAGTTCTGTGGCGTTGGCACCGGGTGCGTCTCAATCGACTTCCTAAAGTTCAGTAGTGAGTGCACTGATCAGGGATTTGTACATTTTAAAGTGTTACATGCTTACTTACTACTCCCCAGGCCATTTATATCGAAGCTGATACTTAGCCGCTCCATGGTGGTGTTTCGTAATAGAGATCTGCGCGGGACTAAATTTTAAATCCCGCTCCCGCCCGCACCCGCCAGGTTTTAGCCCGAACCTGACCGCTCCCGCTTATATTAAGAATTTATTGTCCCGCTGCCCGACCCGCCCCGTTTTCTGGCCGCCGCGCCCGATCCCGCTAAAGAGCGGGGGAGAACAAAACCGAAAATCCCCCAGCTATACAGTCCAGACAGACAAGCTGTCTGTATAAACACACACACACACAGCACCAAGCACACACACAGACAAAGCTCTCTCTCTCTCATACGCGCGTGCACTAACACACACACAAGCACCAAGCAGACACACAGGCGTTTGGTGTTATATCAACTCAAAGGCTTGTAATACCATGTATCAAGTACCAATGTAATACCAAAAGGTTTTATATAAAGGTATACAAATACTGAGTCGTGCCAGCTCAGGGCCGCAGCGCACATTACTCTCGGGCCGATTCCGGCGCGGATGCGGCAGCGTCGGCTCCCTTACGGCCGCCGCATCTGGCACGATTGATTCGTGCCGGAATCGGGCAGTGAGTCCACAAGCATCCGGAGTCCGGCAGCCGGAGCCGGACTGAGTGGTAAGTCTCTGGCAGGCGAGAATCTAGCCGGAACTGGCCCGAGTGTATTTTGCTATCTGGGAAAGCTCTCTCTAACTCTCATTCGCGCGCGCGCACTAACATACACACACACAAGCAATAAGCACACACACAGGCAAAGCTCACTCTCGCTCTCGCTCTCTCTCTCTCTCTCTCTCGCTCTCTCTCTCTCTCTCTCATTCACATAGCAATATCCGCGATATTGCTAGACAGCCCGCTCCAGTCCCAAATTAAACCCGTTACCGACCGCTCCCGCGATTTATTCGGAAATTTATTCTCGCGCCGCAGAAATCTGGTCGGGTCCTGCGGCACCCGCGGGACAGCCGCGGGAATGCAGACCTCTATTTCGTAACATCTCATTTTTACGAGGAGGGTCATTAGCCCAATGCTCAACCCCCAACTTGGATGACCTGGACATACACACATACACTACGGACAAATTTAGCTTACCTAATTCACCTGTAGTGCAAGTCTTTGGACTGTGTGGGAAACCGGAGCACCCGGAGGAAACCCACACCAACACTGGGAGAACATGCAAACTCCACACAGAAATGCCAACTGGTTCAGCCAGGACTCAAACCTGTGACCTTCTTGCTGTGAGGTAACAGTGCTAACCACTGAGCCACTGTGCTGCCCTAACTCGAAATTGTAAAGCGTTACTCTAAAAAGTAACCTTCCTCAACACTGCTTATTCACATCTACAGGGAGCAGATTGAGACGCACTGTCAGTCTCTCAGTCCTGCTGTTTCAGAGCCCATGGGTCTAGTCCTTTATTTCCGGCTTCTCTCCAGAACTCTGGATCAGGCCATTTCCAGGAGCTTCTTCAATTAACGGCTCTCTCAGACATCTGTGATTTTCAGGTCAACTACAATTAAAGCCTGCGCACCCAGGGGCGTCTGTGCAGCAGGGCTAGTAGACACTGGGGGACTATAGTACAGTAGCTTTAGATGTATGCAATGGCAAGAATTATCATTATTCTGATATAACCAAGTGAACTAATAGGTATGATTGGATATATGGGACATCGTAGGAATATTGATTATATAAACACTGCTGTATATATTTTTCTTACCACTGTTGATCTATAATGTAAAAATACACACTGCAAAAATGCTTTTGATTAAGTAGAAATATCTAAATATTCTTAAATTAAGAAGCATTTTTTTAGACAAGCAAAACATATTGTCTTGTTTTAAGAAATAATATGCCAAAATTAAGTGAGTTTTTCCTCAAAACAAGCTACTGTGTCTGACTCATCGTTGCAACTCAACAACAAATGCATCAAATACTCATTGGTAAAGTTCCTACTGTAGTATTTCTCACGAACATTATGTGAGATCTTCTTCCTTTATGTCTGTTTGTTGTCTGAGGCAGCCGAGGGCGGCGATTGAGACACGCTGCAGGCTCGTGAGAACGGTGGGCAGGGAGGACTAGCCTTAAAGGCCCAATACACAAGAACAGCAACTAGCTGTTACGAGCTATACAACAGAAACCTAAGAAAGCTATAATAAATAATCTGATTGGTATTTTGAGCTGAAACTTTACAGACACATTCTAGGGACACAAAAGACTTGTAATCTGGAAAAATGGGTAACCTAGGTGCCTTTTAATGTTAGATTTTTTGTGAGGTGGCTCGAGGATGCAGGCCGAGTACCTTAAGGCTGATTTATACTTCCGCGTCAAGCGCACACGTATGCTATGGCGCTGACGCATAGCCCTTCGCCGTGACCATTGGCGCCATTGACGTGCACCTCCTAAAAAGTGTAACTACACGTCGCAACGACGCGTAGCGCAAGCTCTGTGATTGGTCGGCTTGGTAGCGCTGACGAGTCTGGGCGGGACCGAGAGCCACGCAAGCCCAATGGAACGATTGTTTACAAGTGTAGAGACCCGCGAAGGAGCTCCTGATGGAAAGTTTTGTTTTGTGTTTACCTCATAGTTAAAGTTGTTGCACGTCTGTCAGTTCCTGCCTCAAAATGAGCGAGTTTGAGCCACTTGTACATCCCGGAAGCATTCAGTAAGAACAAAACACAGGCGAAGAAACTCGACACTGAGACACATTAACACCTCACTGCCAACTAGCGTTTTGGAAGTGTTAATGCAGACCAACCAAGACAGCGCGCAGAAGTATAAATGCACAGCTATGCGTGTTACATGCGCCGTTGGTAACGCCGGTCACTTGACGCAGAAGTATAAACCAGGCTTAAGTGTCCCACAAGTGACATTATACAGCCATACCGCACTGCTACGAGTGTGATATTGCGTTTCTACAACAGTTCAACGGCATAATCATGTATATAAAAAAGAAAATCAAACACAAGGAGTCTAAAAATCCTTTTGTAAGAAGAACTAATTTCTTCTGCCACTCATTCACATCTAAGGCTGACATCTCAACAGCAGAGACCATTGTTCAATAACACACCATCACTTTAGAGCTAGAATTTAAATGATTCTCTAGCATAATGTCTAAAGTGATGACAAAACAGGTGTTTTTGCTCACATTTTAAGATTATAAGCTGAACGGCATGAAATGCCATCAGTCTACAGAGATTTCCCAGTATTGCTCTGTTGTAATCAGAAGTTTACAATAATTAATCCCCATAAATAATCTGCCTATGGGGTCAGAAAAATATTCTTATGTCAAAAGGAAAAACTAAGTAATTTGGTTTATCAATTGGCGGATTATTAAACTTGCTTTGAGGAAAAACTCACTTTATTTTGGCATATTATTTCTTAAAACCAGACAACATGTTTAGCTCGTTTAGAAAATGTTTTTTGATTTAAGAATTTTAAGATTTTTGGTCTAGAAACAAGACAAAAAAATCAAAGTGAGAAAAGCCTTTTTTGCATTGCAGAGCAGGATGAGGCAAGACGTGCATGAATTTTGTGCTTACACTAGTAAAATATTGTGCATATATTTATAATATTAAATATATTTACTGTTTTGCAACAGCTGTGGTCATACTTATTTGTATTAATAATATTTTTAAGTCTTTTGTTTTACTTTATTTCTCTCAAATGTGAGGTTTTAGGCTCACTAGCACTAGACTATTTTATGTGGGAATAAAACTAATAATTAAAGAGATTAAATGAGAGGATGTTACTTGTATTTTTATTGTATATTGTGCCAATAAATAGGGTAAAAAGTCCAAGAATGCTAATAGAAATGCTTCTATTTTATATTTTTATATGTTACATTTTATAAATTAGCATTATAATATATTAAATACACAGTACTTGTCTAAGATTTTGAAACATTATGCTTTTTAAATGAGTTTATTGAAGTATGTTATGCTCACCAAGACATATACATAGACGTATATACAGTATTTCCAATAATGGTAATCTTTTTTGACATTATAGATGTTTTACTGTCACTTTAAATCAATTTAATTTAAATTTGCTGAATAGCAGCCTTGGTTCCCTTTAAAAAACACAATATCCCCAAATAAGTGAACGGTATATGAGGTTTTCTGCATATTAATCACCACAACTGCTTTCAACATTGATATAATAATAAGAAATCTTTATGTCAGTATATCAGAATTATCTTTAAAGGATCATACAGTAGTAAATCATATTTTTTAAATATATAACTACAGTTATTATTTTAATTTATAACACTATTATTGACATTATTATTATTATGAACAAAAAATGCAGTCTTGGTTGAGTATGAGGCTTAATTATAAACATTTAGAATCATTTTTCAACTTTTGACGAGCACTTGATATGCAATTATCAAATTCTTCTTATTATTATTATTATTATATACAGTTGAAGTCAGAATTATTAGCCCCCCTGTTTTTTTTCCTCCCCATTTTCTGTTTAACAGAGAGAAGATTTTTTTTAAACACATTTCTAAACATAATAGTCTTAATAACTCATTTCTAATAACTGATTTATTTTATATTTGCCTTGATGACTGTAAATAATATTAGACTAGATATTTTTCAAGACACTTCTATACAGATTAGTGACATTTAAAGGTTAATTAGGTTAGGTTAGGGTTATTAGACCAGTCATTGTAACAATAGTTTGTTCTGTAGACTATCCAAAAAAAAATTTTTTAATAAATTTTAATAATTTTGACCTTAAAATAGTGTTTAAAGGGTCAAAAACAGCTTTTATTCTAGCCAAAATAAAACAAATAAGACTTTCTCCAGAAGAAAAAAATATTATCAGACATACTGTGAAAATTTCCTTGCTCTGTTAAACATCATTTGGGAAATATTTTAAAAAAGAAAAACAAATTCAAAGGGGGACTAATAATTCTGTCAGCGCTTATACATGCATTCACTGGTTCAGAGGTTGCATATGAAAAGCGACGATCGACGCACAGCTTTAATGTAAAGACAGTGGGATACAATTGTAAAATACAGGAGAATTTCGGCAATACAGGACAGTTTAAATGAATGAAGTGAACAGGAAGTGTTTGTGGAAAAACATCTTTGCAAGGGAACGAGGGAATTTCCTCACCATCACATCCCTTCCGGGTCTCCGTAATAAACAATCTAATATTTGGCATATATTTATTAGGCACCATATATTTTGTACACAACCCAGAAATGTTGTTGTGTTCATAATCTTCTAGAAATTGTGCAGATGTATGTGAAAATTATTTTATTCCTTTGAGGCCAGAATTAATATCCCTCCTGTATATTTTATTTCTCCAATTTCTGTTTAACGGAGAGCAGATTGTTTTCAACACATTTCGAAACATATTAGTTTTAATAACTCATTTCTAATACATTTTATCTTTGTCATGATGACAGTACATACTATTTTACTAGGTTTTTTTTTCAAGATACTAGTATTCAGCTTAAAGTGACATTTAAAGGCCTAACTAGTTTAATTAGATGAGTTAAGGGAATTAGGCAAGTCATTGTACAACAATGGGTTGTTCTGTAGATCAGTGGTTCTCAAACTTTTTTCACCAAGTACCACCTCAGAAAAACCACCATAATGACCAGTACTGAAATAAAGTACGGTAGTGTAGTTGGCTAAATTAAGCAGCTACAGCCTTGCACACTTCAAAAAGAGGCAGTCATATTCATTCAACAAAATTATATTCCATACAAAATATGACACAGCGAGTCACGTTCTTGTCACGTGACTCGCTGTGCGGCATTCTGAAAAGTTAAGATGTTTTCAATTGGGGACGCCTGGAACACAAGCGCGTCTTGCTGCAGTTCTTTCTCATTTTGCTAGCCTGTGGGTTAAATTTTGGCACTCAAGTAACCAAAATGTAACAAGAGAATACGGTGCTTTTTCAAAATCAAAGATTTTTCTAAATAAATGATTGTTCAGGCTCAGATTATAAATAAAACGGAAACAAATAATGATATTTTGTGCGGCCCAGTACAAATTGGTCTATAGACCAGTGCCGGTCTGTGGCCCGAGGATTGGGGACCACTGCTCATGTATCTGCTCTGCACGCACCATGCACTTCTTTCTCTGGTTCTGCATCAATTAAATTAGTTTATCACGACATCAGCTGCTAAAAACCAAAGTAAACATTCTATGCACAGCGCTTTGATTGTAGGCTTTAGAGAACAGCCAATGCTGATCACAATGGTGTTATTGCACGCATCAAATTATTAAAATTGTATTAATTTTTTCTTTTATTGCTCAGTGATTCCTCCGCGTACCACTAGAAGTAAGCCCCCACACCACTAGCGGTACACGTACCACAGTTTAAGAACCACAACTGTAGACAATCAGAAAAAATATTGCTTATGGGGGCTAATAATATTGACCTTAAAATGGTTTTCAAAAAATTACAAACTGCTTTTATTCTTGCTAAAATAAAACAAATAAGACTTTCTCCAGAAGAAAAAAATATTATGGGAAATACTGTAATTCCTTGCTCTGTTAATCATCATTTGGCAAATATTTTAAAAAAGAAAATTCATAGGAGGGCGATAAATTCTGACTTCAATTGTGTAAGGCTTGAAGCTTACGCTGCTATTCTGAACCAATAATCGGAAACAGGAAGCAGTTGAAGGATGGCGTGTTTAAATCCATTATTTATCTGACTCCATTGTAATTAATCTGACTCCATTAAAGTTGTTATCATCATTGATAAAGAGAAAGAATCTCTACGTCTTAAAGCAGGCAAAGTTGTTTATTAAGTTACATGTTTAAATATACAGACATTAGAATGACACAAACTAACATACTGTATAAAGAAATTAGCTGTTACATATGCACTGCTGAGCAACAAAGACAGTGAAACTGCCTTTGTTAGCATACGAGGCTACGCACTGGTGTGCGGGAGATGCAGAGTAAAAGCCATTCTCCCAGATCAACAGTTACCTTTCTTTCTTATACCCTGAGCAAAGCATTGTCAAACATGAGTGAAAACCAACCCCCAAAACCAGCTGAACGTGAGAGCAAAGTTGAAGAGATGAAGTGGGGGAGAAGTACATTAACATACTCTCCTCAGGCCATGACCCAACAATAGTTAATATAGTGTAGATTGAAACACAATTAATCAATGTCTCTGTTGATTTCATCACTACAACACTGAAGTCATAAACTGTCAAATGACACCAAACATGACAAAGTTATCTGAAAGAAGAACACAAGCAGATGAATTGTGTATGGTGAAGAGCACATGGTTACTGTAAGCAAATGGCAGAGATGTGTATCGGAGCTGTGAGGAACTCTGCCTCACCAAGAGGACCCATCCCATGCTTGGAATGTCTCAGTAGTCCTTCATTAGCATAGAAGGAAAAATATACAATATTTTCTCAGCTTACAATTGTATTAACTAACATATACTGTAACTAACATGTAAAACTAACATATTTTTAATTTGATGTTAGACTTTTGGATGTCCTTAAACTGTCCCTTCCCCATTGCCCCCCCCCCCCCCCCCACCACCACCACCACCACCACCCCAAAAAGACACTAAATATCTGAATAGCACTATTCAGCATATTTCATTTTGTAGCCACCACGTATATTTTTTACACGAACCAGAAATGCTGTTCTCATGTGTTCACCTTTTCTCGGTTCCTGTGAAATAACAGCTGGTCTTTATTTTGTTCATATAGTTCTAATGGAAAGTCTGTGTCATGGTCTGAACCAGGTTCAAGACATCCTCCGAAAGGGGAGCACATGTGGCACAGACTGTCTGTACATGTGAAGAAGCAGGAAGCCGGATCCAATCAGACGGCCATCATCAAACCGCTAACTAACACCTACAATAACCCGGGCATGGAGTTTTCCGATTTAAGCACCAAGACTCTATATAACGTAGCCGAGGAGGACGAAATCGACCCCATCAGATACAACCCCTCAAACAGCCCTCATCTGATGGCTCCTGTTAGCAAGCCTATGAAGGAGGTGGGCGCAAATCTAACGTTTTACACCCCCGAGCAGCACGTGCCACAACAGAACAGTGTTCTCCCCCAACATGCCATGATAGAGCACTTTCAGGATGATGTAGTCAAGTATAATTCAAACATGGCCGATTTGGATGAAATCATAAGCCTTCCTGAACCAACCGATGGCATCATTTTGGCACTTCAGCCTCAAGTTTTGCATCCTCATCCGATTTTACCCATGAACGTTTATCAGGATGAACCATCTTCTCCTTTGGAGGAGGTGGAAAACGAACAATTCGGGCTCCTTCACGGATACATGTATGATAACGCGCAGATTCACGACGAGGAGGAGTTGGTGCAAATCAAAATGGCTATGGAGGATTCAATGGCGCTCATGCCGCCTTCTCCATTTCGGGATTCTTTGGGCTCAGGAAGTCCCGTTCGCAATTCTCCAGTGTCTGAGTCTGTTTTGTGCACACCGCCGAGCGTCACCTACGCCTCCGTCATCCTCCGGGACTATAAGCAAAGCTCCTCCACGCTTTGAAATGGATTTACCGCAGCTTTTTGTGATTTAATATTAGATACTAGTTTGTTTGAAGACTTGTGTGACTTGAATCGCCTGCACTGGAAAGCTTTAATATTGTTGTTCAATGAGGTAAAGTTTGATAAAGGCAGTGAGTGTGTTGAGCAGGGTCCAAAATTAACACTGGAAGAAGTTTTTTTGTGCAATATGTAGATTTTTTTTAATGAGCTGGTTTTATTTTTGTGTATTTTAGTTTAATAGTCAGATTTCATTTTAAATTTAATTTATTATTTATTATTTATTTATTTATTTATTTATTTATTTATTTATTTATTTATTTATTTATTTATTTATTATATCTATATAAAAATATCTAGTCAAATATTATTAACTGTCATCATGGCAAAGATAAAATAAATCAGTTTTTGAATTATCAGTTATAAATCTATTATATTTAGAAATCTGTTGAAAAAAATCTTCTCTCTGTTAAATCTATTTATTCATCTTAATTTAGTTATCTATTTATTTATTTATCTATCTATTTATGTATTCATTTATTTTCTATTTATCTATTTATTTTTTATTTATTTATCTTTTTATTCATTCATCTATTTTTTTTATTTATTTATTTAGCTATTTATTTATTTATTTATTATTTGTGTGTTAATTGAGTTATTTTAGTACATACAAGTCGGAATTAATAGCAACCTCGTATATTTTTTTTCCAATTTCTGTTTAATGCAAAGAAAGCATGGGTTTTATGCTTATTTTTTAGCATAAAAAGCAATAATTTTGACCCAAAATGAACACTGGAAGAAGATTTTTTGTGCAATATGTAGACGTTTTTATTTTTGTGTATTTTAGTTTTATATTCAGATAAAAAATTTTATTTATCTATCTATCTATCTATCTATCTATCTATCTATCTATCTATCTATCTATCTATCTATCTATCTATCTATCTATCTATCTATCTATCTATCTATCTATCTATCTATCTATCTATCTATCTATCTATCTATCTATCTATCTATCTATTGTGTTAATTGAGTTATTGTAGTACATACAGGTGAAGTCGGAATTAATAGCAATCTTAATAGCAAATCCCCCCCCCCCCCCCCCCCACCACCTATTTGTATATTTTTATTTTTCCCAATTACTGTTTAACACAAAGAAATGTGTTTTATGTGATTGATTGATTGATTGATTGGTTTATGTTTGTAAATTGCCACTTTAGGTTAAACTAAGCATATATGCAGTACATTGTCTTAATAGTTAAATGAAGTTAAATTAGTCAGTAAGTTTTGTTTTCTTTCATTCAGCTTTAGCTTAGTCCCTTTATTTATCAGTGGTCACCAACCACAAACTTATCCAGCATTTGTTTTACACAGCGGATGCCTTTCCAGCTGCAAACTAGTACTGGGAAACACCCATACACACTCATTTAGACACACGCTCATACACTACAGCCAATTTAGCTGATTCAATCCACCTACAGTGCATGTGTTTGGACTGTTGGGGAAACCAGAGCACCCAGGGGAAACCCACACTAACACGGCTCAGTGGTCAGCACTGTCACCTCACAGCAAGAAGGTCACTGGTTCGAGTCCCGGCTTATAGGTGAATTAAATAAACTTAATTGGCTGAGTGTGTGTAAATATGAGAGTGTATGAGTGTTTCCCACTACTGGGTTGCAGCTGGAAGGGCATCCGCTGCGTAAAAAATATGCCAGAATAGTTGGTGGTTCATTCTGCCATGGCATCCCCTGATAAAAAAGAGACCAAGCTGAAAAAAATTAATGTATATTAGGTAGACTATCTAAAAATCAGACTCTTTTACCACTTTTTATTTAGTCATTTTATATAACTTTTATTTATAATAAGTTAATGAGTTCATTTTGGACCCTAAATCAGTTCTGGATTGAGTATCAGCAGGAGCCCAAACATGCAGATTTCTGTCACTATCACTTGCTTTAGTGTGGCAGCAGTAGTTGACATGAAACCAACACCAGTCATTGTAATGCTGTATATTCTGAGCCGTTAATGCTATTCATAATAGACTGCTTTCATATCCAAGGTAGCAGAAAGCCAAGATTTAAGAATTCAAACAATGTGCAGTTGAATTCAATGTGTTTAGTGTTTTATACAATCATTCTTCATGACTTTTATAAGCCCATCTGAAGGTGTTAAGTGTAGTTAAAGCATCATGTATGCAGTAAACTAAGCGTATAGACCTTATTCTTCGAAATGCAAGTGCCCTCGTTTTCAAGATTGCTTTAGAACTTCTGATTCAGTGTTGTCTTTGGGAGAAATGAGTAGGAATCATAACCGGTCAAACTACTTGCTCTACAAACAAGTGTGTTCATGACTGTACATAAAAAGGAGAATAATATAACAAGAAAATATCAGTTTGCATCATCAAGACACATAACGAGCTGTTTTTAACATCTAAATATCAATGGAAGTGAATGAAACCGGAAGTCTTGAGCTAAACAAATTTCATTGGCAGCACTTGCACATACATGAAGAATAAGGTCAATAGATTACAGACGCCTAGAAGTAAAATGTAGCAAAACAAATGGGTAGTTTTTAAGTGCCATTGTCAAATACTGCAGTAACTGTATTTTGCTGTATTGTTTTATATTGTGATTTTTGTATAGTTTTGTGTGTTTAAAGTACATTAGGAACTGTGTATATATATATATTGATTTTATTCTATTTATGTTTGTATTTTTATTAATAATGAAGCAATTTTAAATATACTTAATGTACTGTATAGCCCTGGATTTAAATGGTCATAACTTAGAGCCAGTTATGTACAGTTGAATTCAGAATTATTAACCCTCCTAAATTATTAGCCCCCCCCCCCTTTATTTTTTTTTCTCCCATATTCTGTTTAACAGAGATTAGATTTTTTTTCCCCATTTTCCCCCCATTTTTTTTTTTTTGTAAACATACTAGTTTTAGTTGTTAATTTCTAATATCTGATATCTTTTATCTTTGTCATGATGACAGCACATAATATTTAGCTAGGTATTTTTTAAGATGCTAGTATTCAGCTTAAAGTGACATCTAAAGGCTTAACTAGGTTAATTATTAAAGGTTAATAGATAGGGATGTAACGGTATCAGAATTTCACGGTACGGTAATACCTCGGTATGAATGTCACGGTACGGTATTTATTGAATCATTTACAGGAAAAAACAAAACTTATGAAAATACTCCAAAAAAGTGCCAAAAGTGTCAATGACATACAAATTAGTCATCTATCTGTAAGCTTTGAAACAGGAACTTCAATTTTAATAACAAAAAAATATTAAACCATGTAAAAAAATTAAGTTTCAATTTAGTAGTGTTGAAAACTCCTCACATTCAACATTTAATCACTCACTCACTTAGAGATGGGTTTAAAGGAAAATTATCATATAAATATAATCTGGTAAAAGCTGGTATCTCTGGGTATTTACAATGTCCCCTGCAACAGAAAAAAACCCTCTCATTTGGGACTGAGGTTTCTGGGACAAGAGAGATATGACTTGGCCCAGGTTGTTAGCAATGGGGAACGTTGTGCATTGTCTTTCCCCCACTTGAGAAGACAAACCATGAGTGAGATAGAGATCTCATGTCTGCATCAATCTGAACAGTGTGCTGTGTTTCTGCAGTCCCCATGACTGATTAGTCGTATTCCCCAACTTGCAGGCACGTGCACACACAGTGCTCAACCTGTGCAGTGCACATGCCCTTTTTAGTCTTGGATAGAAAGTTCCCTTCCAAAATGATCAAAAGTGCCCCCGCGACGCGACATACCCTCCGTCCCCGCTTTACAGTACGCGCGCGACAACACAGCTGATAAGAACTCGCGCGACAACACCGCTATTCAGTACGCGCGCGGCGACAACACCCGCTTTAGGGTTTTCCAGCTCTTTTTGATCCCCGCTTCCAGCAGCACACTCCATTTCCGCATTACTGGATCTGTAGCGACAACAGACCGCAAGGGATTATGGCCAAGCCTGGGCTGATGGGAATTGTAGTTTCCGGTATCTCCCGTTCGCTTCATTCGCCTGAGCAAATTTTCTCAGAAGACCTATAGTTTTACCGAGTCATGCGACTACGGTAATATCGAAAAAAATTAATATTGCGGTATGACGGTATTTACAATACCGTTACATCCCTATTAATAGATAATGTTCCTACCAGAAAGACCAGGGAGAAAATTTTTGGTTTTGAATTACGTTTATTTGATGAGTATTGTTTGACAAAAAGTATGATTTATTTGGCGGAGGCCCTGACCAAGGCTTGAATTAAAAGTTTGTAGATCTAGCTATGGCTGCCTATAGGACGAAGGCAGAGATGGAGCCTTCCCCCCTGGACAGGGCCAACCTGGTGGTGGTAGGGAGGATGGCAGGTGAACATCCGCATCTGTCTTACAACCACAAAAATAAAATAATTGGACAGCTTGTATATTTCTTGTGCTATTGATTGGAACAGATTGTGATGAGTTACATGACATTAGGGGCTCTATTTTTTACTGATTTAAGTCCACAGCGCACAGCGCTAAAGCATTAGGAGCGTGTCCGAATCCACTTTTGCTATTTCAAGGATGGAAAAATACGCTCTGCGCCCTGGCGCATGGTCTAACAGGGCTGTGTTTATTCACTTAATGAGTTATAGGTGTGTTTTGAGCATAACGTGCATTAAACCAATCAGAGTCTCATCTCTCATTTCTCTTTCAGAGTCAGTTGGGTCGTGATATGGCGCATTTTGCATGGCAGACTTTGTAAGAGTAAAACTTGAACGCTTTTCTAGCTAGAAAACAGTCAACCAGACCATCTGCAGCACAAGGATAAAGAACGAGCCTCCTCCATTCAGCCTCTTTACTTTACTTTTACTCTTTACTCCTTTACTTTCGTGGATAAGGAAACAGTGTTGTACGCACTTCACTGAAGACATCTATTAGCCTACATATTTAATTTCATCTGTTAAGCTCAAAAGTTTGTTTCAAAACTTTTTCTAAATTCAGTTTTAATTTCCAGCAAACAAATAAATGATCAAAAATAATAAAGTGTTAATCAACAATGCGTCTTAAAACACTTCTTTTTAGACCAGCACACCCATGAGTCCACTTAGTAGAGCAAATTGAATTGTTATTTAAACAACGTGGTGCAAAAAGTGAAAATTAGAGTTGCGCTGGTCTGAAAATAGCAACAAATTGCGCCAAACATAGTCTTCCTGGTAGAACTAGCGCTAAAAGCTACATTGACCTTAAAATGTTTTTTTAATTGAAAACTGTATATTTTTTTATTGAAAACTCTTATTCTAGCCAAAATAAGACTTTATCAAGAAGAAAAAATATCATACGTAGGAAATACTGTGAATATTTTCTTCCTCTGTTAAACATCATTTGGAAAATATTTTAAAAAGAAAATAAAAAACTAATAATTTTGACTTTAACTGTACATGAACTTCCGATTAGACATTATTGATTGTTCTGTTTCTACATCTGTATCTGGCAATATTATTATAATTATTACTGATTTTGCTTCGTACAGTCAGTGTTTTAATAAAGATATAAGAACCCTAGTGCTCAACAGGGCCACCGACGGCAGTTTCTCCAGAATGTATCACGAGTCCGCTTATATGCTCTGAAACCTTTAGACAGTAAAATCTTCTTAAATGTTATGACCAGTTGAGTCCTGTGTAAAATAAATATCATAGATTTTTTTAAGCAAGAATAGAGGAGTGTGTTTGGGAAACATTGTTAACAATCTGAAATGAATATGATGTAAGTTTTCTTTTTGTTTCTGTTGCATTGCAGTATGTGTCATTAGATTGCAAACTAGAGTCTTGAAACTATACTTTAGCTTTAAGAAAACATTTGTGCTATTATATATTTTGAATGAAGCATCGCTGTCCTGCTGCATACCGTATGGATATACTGTAGGTATGTTAAGATAAACTGTGTTTACAGATCAAATGTAGTTCATCTGTATGTTTCAGATATTGCTTGGCTTATTATAATGGGGTCCTGTTATGGTTTTTGTGCTTGCTTGATTTCATAATGTTTCTGTTTGAGCTCGAAAAAGATTTGCAAAGTAACAAGTTCTCAGTAACTCCAAGGTGCCGCTTAAACTAATGCGTCTTTGTTTAAAAAATGTACAGGTTTTATTAGTTACACCTGTCATCCACTCTTAAAATGTGAATTAAAGGTGCTGTAAGCTTTTTGACTCCTTTAAAGCATAAATATGATAAGCATAAAATCAAACTATATTATATATGTAATTCTGACATAAAATGTGCATATCATGTCAGAATGTCTGTCTTTGTTTGGGTTTGTGTAACTCCGCCCACTGGCTGTTCACCCAATTATATTTTGAGTAGCCGTGGCAGAAAACAGCATATTTAATTTTAGTCAATGTAACCACTATGGCAGCCTCCAACATATGACATTGGATTTGTGAGGTTTTTTTATTTAAAAACAAATAAATTGCAAATAGATATTGAAAGCGTAAACATGAGCTGATCAGCTTACAGTTTAGGGCTCGATTGGCAACCTGCGTGTGTGTCAAGTTGTCGACGGAGTGTGAAAAGAATTCTCCAATATTTTGAATTTAGACTGCAATATCTAGTTCAAACACTAGGTGTTAATCATACTGTACCTTTAAGACCCCATTTTAGTTTGGAAACGCTTGTTTTAGTATAAATGAACTGACACAAGCTTAAAAAAAATGGAGGAACTGCTATACACAGTCTCTCTCTGACTGGTCTTCTGGAGACCATGTCGTCCCACACAGCAAACTTTCTCTGGCATAGCTCTGGCCCACACAATCAGGTTTTACTTGCAGGTTTTTCTCAGGTTTTGCTTGGCCCACATGCCGCTAAAGCTGCTGTGCTAGCTTTATGCCAAATCTGGGCCAGAATTCTTTGCTACCTGGGATGCATACCATTCCCTGCATTACTCCCTGCACACAGGAAGAAGCCCCGGCTACTTCACACTAACCAATCAGCTTCTCTCAGAAAACTATATCAAGAGTTTTAACTGACAATCAGTGTTGGGGGTAAAGAGAGTAACGTACTAATATTACTTTTCTAATTAATAAGTAACCCATTACTTTAAAAATAAAAAGTAATAATATTTGAGTTATTTTAGTTTCATTAATTTGTTTAAAAATATAATAAAATGCTGATTTAAAATCCGCAGTCATGTTGAATCATGCACATAATGACAGAACGCAGGAACAGACAGAAACCAAAATGGCAGAGCCTTATATTTCTGCGATGGAAGTATTCTCGTTATTTTGAACGCATGAAAGCTAAGGAAGGTGACGCAGTGGCGCAGTAGGTAGCGCTGTCGCCTCACAGCAAGAAGGTCGCTGGGACGCTGGTTTGAGCCTCGGCTGGGTCAGTTGGAAATTTTGTGTGGAGTTTGCATGTTCTCCCTGCGTTTGCATGGGTTTCCTCCGGGCAGTGGCGTGGCGCAAAATGCGGAGGCCCCCTTGCAGGGATCGCTGACGGGGCCCCCTGATGAAGGTGGGGTGGGGGAGAAATACGTCATACGTCACTGCTGTACGAGGACTGACCGGGCCGCCTGTCAGTGCTGTGAGGCGGGGGAGGGGCCGGCGGCATCACAAGCAGCTCGTTGAGAAGAGTTGGGACGGTACAGTATGGACAAATGACAGTCTACAAAAAAAAAATCTCCAATAACACACAAAAAACTCGCTAGGGGGGTCAGAAAAGTCGCTAAATCTAGTGACAAAGTCACTAAGTGGGCAACATTGGCGGCAAGCAATCAGAATGAAGTAGTCCACCGCTTGAGAGGTGTTCAGAGAACACAGACCTGTGAACTTTGGTTCCGACCACAGTTGTTCCCAAGAGTTTGATTATTGCGGTTGCCGGTTTTCAATTATTGAAAATCTCGACGACGCGGAGCCCCCTAATCACGTGTGGCCCGCCTGCGCTGCGTGCCCTGCGGGCCTGTCCGCTACGCCACTGCCTCCGGGTGCTTCCCCCACAGTCCAAAGACATGCGGTACAGTTGAATTGGGTAGGATAAAACTGTATGAGTGTATAAGTATATGAGTGTGTGTGTGTGTGTGTGTGTGAATGTTTCCCAGAGATAGGTTGCAGCTGGAAGAGCATCTGCTGCGTAAAAATGTGCTGGATAAGTTCATTGTTCATTCCATGGTGGCGACCCGGGATTAATAAAGGGATTAAGCCAACAAGAAAATGAAAGAATGAAAGTTAAGGAAAAGGGGATTGTGTTAACGGACAGAGGTAAAATGTACAAAAATAGCAAACGCATTGCTTTAAACCCTTATTAATCTGTATATATGGCATTAAAAGTAACTCAAAAGTAACGTGGCACATTGCTTTCCATAAAAAGTAACTAATTAAAGCCACAAGTAACTTTTTTGGGGGAGTAACTCAGTATTTTGATGCATTCAAAAGTAACTTTCCCCAAAGATTGCTGACAATACAACACGCAGATGTTTTATTTGTTGTTGCTGGAGTAGCTGAGGGACATGATATAAAAGCTCCGCCCTCTTCTGGGAAAGGGGGCGGAAAGTAGCTGCTGATTTGCATTTAAAGAGACCACCCAAAAAGAGACATGTGTAGAATGCTATAAGAAATAATCTGTATTTTGAGCTTTATCTTAACAGGCACATTCTGATGTCTCGTAAAACTGACATTAGTTTGGAAAAAGGGCATAATAGGACCCCATTTACATTTCAGTGAGCATGTTTTATTAGGTTTATGATACAAACTGTACATTTTTGTAAATAAGCTCTCAGGGTTGTTGCTGCAATAGATGTTTAGTTAATAATTTCCCAAAGTGTGACCAGTTATTGCTTTCATATGACCATCTTAAAGAACTGTCTACAACACCTGCGTGTCTCGCTGTCACTTTATACAAGCTGTGCTTAAAATGGATGAACTTTGACCTTTGGTTTAACTTTGTTTTACCGTTTTCATGCTGAAAACTCTGTGTTAGCCAGCCAGCAGATGTGAAGTCTGAACTAGGTCATTCTTTTCTGATGAGGAAAATGTCAGGAGACTCAGAGTTAGGATGCACTGAACATTTATTTAAAGTTTTGGTGATTGGAGACCATAAAGTTGGGAAGAGCAGCTTTGTTAAACTCTATGTGAGGAATCAGTTTTACGAGGAGTTGAAAACCAGTATAGGTGTGGATTTTTCTATGAAGGTTATCGATTGGGACGCTCACACACGAGTGAGATTGCAGTTTTGGGATATAGCTGGTAAGTCTTTTAATCATAATTTGTAGAATTTTGTTGGTTACATTTGTTGTAGATCATCAACTCAGACTTTAATTTAATATGTTGAGTAAATAGTACTGTATAAAGGCAAGAATGACGACAAATGTCTGTTAATTATTAACTATTTATTGACCTTAATATCCAGGGCCCGGTTTTTCAAAAGTAATCCACTAGGATTTTGGATAAGGGATTGAATCAAATCTTGAAAATGGGTTTTTCAAAAGAAAAAACGGATTACGTAATCGGATTAGATCACGTAATCCAATCTTGGTTTTGATCCGGATCAAACCTTTAGTTTGGGTTTTTCAGACCTTTTTTGTAGGATCTGGATCACTTTGATCCAAAAAACCTGGATTAAACTGATCCCATCAGAAGGGTGGATTTAGCGTGGATTTCATGTCCAAAATGTAATGAAAACTTTAAAAATTTATTAAATAATACTATTTTTGGATCATGCAGTATCTTACGAGATATACTATTTATTCATAAGGTTTTAATTTTATTTGTTCATCTGTCAGGCTATAGTAAGTATAGGCTTTAACGTATTCAGCCTTTCAGTATAGGCCTACAGCAAAGTAGAAAGAGTTTGGCCTCATAAAATAATCCCCCAAACAGCTGTCAAAACTGACCAAAAACAATCCATTTTATTCTGTCACTAATTGATATATATATTCATCACAATGGAAAAGATTTTTCTTTTTAGAATATTTATTAGTGATGCATGCAATGATTACAGAATAACAAAAAAATTGCAAAGAATGGCAATCCCTGATATTTGAAATCACTTTCAACAATTGCAAAAAGAGACTAAAAGGGCAGAAGCACAGTTTCTTATGGCAGAGAAACAACTGACTCTGACCAAACTGCAGCAAACCAAGGCCAATGACTTGAGATTCGCCTCCTAAAGGCTATGCTCAGACAAGCTGCGCTCTCCACATCAGATGAGGAAGTCGGAAATTATTGTTGAGTTTTTGACATTAAGTCTTTTTTTGATTTACATCTATATTTGAAACTTATTATAAATATCCTCAATGTACAGTGTTGTAGGTCTCAGATGAGTGGACTGCTGAAAGAGGATGGGGTGGGGTTTTTCTTGTTTTTATTATTTATTATTATTTTAATAATTATTAAATTCTTTTTAGTTTTCATTTCAAATAAAAATAAAGTTATATTGGCCCCACGCTGGCTATTCTACTCGCTCTTTACATATCTATAGTTCTACATTGTGATGTCCTATCCTGTTTGAGCACTGGTTATCCAGATTTAGTGATCCTGAAAAGTTCCTATCCAGATCAGAGTGATCCAATCCGATGTTGCTTTGAAAAAATGGCTCAAAAAGTAAGCTGGATTACGTGATCACGGATCGCAAAAACAGGATTACTAAATCTGGATCAATTTTATCCGGATTAAACCTTTTGAAAAACCGGGCCCAGGCAATAAAATATCCCATGCCATATTAAGCTGAAATACATCATGTTTTTCTTTCTTTGTCAAACCGGAAGACTCCGTCTGCATCTTAAAGCATAACGTGGTGTTTTCTGATTAACGGTGTTTGTTTATTTAGGTCAAGAGCGTGTGCGAGGACTGAATCGTGTGTACTTCAGGGGATCCAGTGGTGCTTTTGTAGTATACGACCTGACAAGCGGCTCATCGCTGGATGGGGCTCTGAACTGGAAACGTGAACTCGATTGTCAAGTAATGTTGAAAAATGGCCATCCGATCCCTGCTGTTCTGCTGGCTAATAAATGTGATGAGACTAAAGTGAGCCGGAGGAACGCATCCCTTCTGGAGAAGCTCTGCCAGGAGAAGGGTTTTACTGGGTGCTTTCAGACTTCAGCAAAGGTGACTGGATTATTATTATTATTATTAGGCTAAATATGGGGAAAGAAGCAAAGGGGGGGGTTATCAGACAGGATATATATTGTTGACATACTAAAGATCAACTTTGGAATCTTCGATTGGGTTTTGAACGTTCAAAGCCATATCATTTGTCTCTACACTATAAAAAGCCATCAGTTGACCTTACCTAAAAAAGTGAGTAGTAAACACTTTTGTTTAAAAAGTATTAAAGATGCAGTAGGTGATTGTTTTCAGAAACATTTTTGTTATGCTGCTTGAACGTCTCTTCATGTTCCAATAGTAATGATTAAAGTAAATTTTGTATTTGACAGATATTATGCAAACCGTTTAGCATTTAGGCACATCACCTACTGAACCTTTAAGTAAATGAAACATGTGCATCATTTGAATTATTAATATGTGAATTGTTTACATCATTAAAGTAAAATCAACTTATTGTTTTATAAACAATGAGTTAATTCACTTTTTTTTAAGTTAAGTCAACTAATCGCTTTAAAAACTGAAAACAAAAGTAAAACAATATGCCATCGTTCCTCCTCTTATAGCCCAGAGCTCCTTCCTTGGGATTCGAGGCCGGTGCGCACCCCTGGTGTATCCACTTACGCGGCTGCCTCATTCCGTTCCTACGGCTCTCGGCCCCGCCCCCTCACCACAATCACTTTAAAAGTAATGGATTTACTCACTTTTTAATGTAAAGTCAACTAACTGCTTTAAAAACAATGACTTTACTAATCTTTTAAGTAAAATAATTGCTTTTAAAGTCAACTAATCACTTTAAAATCAACGAATTAACATGCTTTTTAAAGTAAAGTCAACTAATCACTTTAAAAGTAATGGTTTACTCACTTTTTTAAGTCAACTAATCACTTTAAAAGCAACAGGTTTACTCACTTTTTAAAGCAAAGTCAACTCATTGCTTTAAAAACAATGGGTTTACTCACTTTTTAAGACAAATAATTGCATTAAAGTCAACTAATCGCTTTAAAATCAACGAGTTAACTTGATTTTTTTAAAAAGTCAACTTATTGCTTTAAAAACAATTACTTTATTAATCTTTTAAGTAAAATAATTGCTTGTAAAGTCAACTAATCGCTTTAAAAGCAACGAGTTGACTCGAATGTTAAAGTGAAGTCGGTAGCCGCATTTCCACTATCAGGCCAGTGCGAGCCAGGGCTTATATCGGGCCAGGCCGGGCCAATCGCCCGGGAGGTTGAGCAGTGAGGCCGAAATCATGTCGCGTTTCCACTGTGGGGCTAGTAGCTCGCAGCGTGTCTCGCAAACCCCACCCCCAGAACATCCCCCAAATCGAACGTCACTTAAACCGCCCACTTCAGCGAGAATCATGCAGATAAAGCACACCATCACATCATCACGAAACTATTAAAATTAGGACAACCAAAACAAACAAATGACACGTTACTGTACAGCAGTACAACGCATGTCTATACGCACATGCCTGTGTGTTTTCATTCATCATATTAATTTACTCGCCGACCGACTATTGGCATCGAAATCCAGTGGTCTTGCCACTAACGGAGGAACCCATCCATCCAGAGGAACATCCATAATATAACACCACATATATAAAATTCTCCGTTAATAACTCGATATAAAATGTATTTTATAACATCCTCTAGACAGACGCTGTCCAACATTCATCCCAAATGCTCCGCAGAGAACTGAAACATGATTTTTTTCCCTATAGGCTTTATGACACTTAATAGGTGATTCCCTTTATTTAAAGATGTTGCTTATTATATCTTAAGTAAAGGAAAAGTGTTCAGTGTTTCAGCACATAGCAGCATGTAATAAAATAGAGCCTATATTTCGTTGCGCTCAGCAGCTATGCACTAATAAAGCTCTTTATGTATTTAAAATTTCCTTTTTTAATTTTACCACGTTATATAAAACATACACACTTGTTTGAGGACACAGAACACATTTTTAACTTGCAGTTTACTCCGTCAAAAAAGTGCTGCGCAGCTGGAAGACAGAAAAAAGGTCGCCTAGTTTCTGCGTTCACTCACCCCGAAAATGCTCTGTTTGCATGATTTGATTAATTTCATCGCATCCAAATACTTTATAAATAATATTTAAAACATTTTCCGGTGTTTATTTATTTATTTATTTATTTTTTTTAGAAAATATCTAAAATCTTTTTTTCAAAGAGGCTTTTGAAAAATGAAAGTTTAATATAAATTTTAAACAGTCTGATATAGTGCATAATTGTTACAGCTATAGCTTTTGTTAGTTTTATATTGTTTCATTTATTTAATGTGATTTTATTATATCTGATATTTGTAATTCTTTAAATTATTTCAATAAAGGGATATTTTATCTAGATATGACACTATTGTTTTGAGCCTAAAAAAGTGGACATGAAATTTGTAAAGTTTAATGTCTTACTGTTGTATTCATATAGTGTATTATCTCCAAAATAAATTAAAACAATAAAAAGAAAAGAAAAAAGCCGCTCGCAGCATCAACAGAGCTATGAATGGAGCGCTCTTTTCCTCGGTCTCACACACGCACAGGTAGGCTATCTAAACGCACAAAAACACTTATTAAACTTGACAAAACCTCTTGAAAACCTTTACTGTCTGCTGTGTCTTTAATATGGTGTAAAGATTATTATGCGTTATTGAAACATCAAAGAGATGCAGCAAAGAAAAGTCACTTATTAAAACTATCATTTTATGCAACAGCCTTACATTTAAAAGAGAAACATAAGGGCGGTCATATGCAAAAAAGACCCCAGGCTTTAATTTGTTCCAGATGTTTTCTTTCTCTTATTTATTTGTTTATGTGTTTGGCGCATGTACTCGTGTGCGATCGGAAAACTGTGCCCGCCTCTCCTTTCACTCCGCCCCGAAGCCCCGGCTGGCCCTCTTTGGCCCAAGGTATTCGGCGGGCCGAACAAGGCCGGCCGCTGGCCCCAAGAAAGCCCCGCTTTGGCCCGATTAGGCCCCGGAAGTGACAGTGGAAACGCCACTGGCCTTGGCTCGCCCTGGCTCGCTCGCTTTAGGCGCAATAGTGGAAACGCGGCTAATGGGTTTACTCACTTTTATAAAGTAAAGTCAACTAATCGCTACTCGCTAGGCCTACACGGAATCTGCGTGCGCAGAATTCCACAGATTTTCCGCAGAATTCCACAGAATTCTGCAGATTTTTAGCCCATCATTAATTCTGTTTGTTTACTTGAGTAAATTTGTGTAAATCTAAATTTATTCAGTTTTTTTAGTTAATTACAGTAATATTATTGACTAATATGAAAATGTTTATCTGATTTATGCACAATGCAGTTTGTACAGTAATATTTTCTGTCTTTTAGGAGAGATATTAAATGAGAGACTTGCTTTGTTTACCAAATAAAGTGAATCTAATTGGATTTGTAATTTAAACATTAAATAAAAGTGAAAAATGTATCACTTTTTATTTCACATATTAAGGATTTAGTTATGATACTCCCAAAATAATTCTGCAAAAATCCGCAGATTTCTAAAATTTTTTAAATTCTCTGCAGAAATAGCAAAAAAAAAACGTCCGCAGATTCCATCTGGCCTTGCTGATCGCTTTAAAAGCAATGGGTTTACTCACTTTTATAAAGTAAAGTCAACTAATCGCTTTAAAAGCAACAGGTTTACCCACTTTTTTAAAGTAAAGTCTACTAATCACTTTAAAAGCAATGAGTTAACTCAAATTTTAAAGTAAAGTCAACTAATCGCTTTAAAAGCAATGGGCAACCATTTAACATGCCTTTTAAAGTAAAGTCAACTAATCACTTTAGAAGCATCAGGTTTACTCACTTCTTAAGGTAAAGTCAACTAATAACTTTAAAACCAATGGGTTTACTCACTTTTTTAAAAGTAGAATCAAATACGAAAGCAATGGATTTATTCATTTAGACTTAAAGTGAAATAATAATGTTGACATTTCTTTATGATTCTAAATAATAGTTTTTTTTTTTTAAATATATAGTTTTATTAAACTGTTCCTATAATAGGTGCATAAAGAGACATTCCACTATTGTTTTTCTTTTCCTCAGGAGAATATCAATGTGGATGAAGCTGCTAAATTTCTTGTGAAGCACATTCTCCAAATTAACGAAGAATCAATGAAAGAAGAAGAGCAGAAGATTCACCTCAAACCACACACAAACACAAACTCGGTCTGCTGCTGACTTTACAATCCCACCAGACCCTTTCCTTCAAGAGTTCAATCTATATAATAGGCCCAGATCATAATGCAGTCCATATCTTTTTTATTTATTGTTTTGTCAGAGATTAATATTCATCTAAACTATGATCTGGATCAGATACCATGTTTAAGGAGTTCCATGCTGTGTATCTAATAAATACCTCTGTGTGTCTCATTTCCCTTGCTAATCCGCTGCATGCTCACAGGTTATTAAATACACCAGCATGAAAGAAGACTAACTGAGATCTGCCACACACACTTCAGCCCAAAACACTTCATCAAGTCCACAGAAATACTGTCAAGATGCCAAATTCCTTATGCTCCTTTCTACTCTAGCAGTGTGTGTAGGGACTTGGCCTATATTTTGCATATATCACATTCTAAACTGTGTTTTCTTAGATAAATAGCAATATAATGTGTTTGAAAATTAATAAATAAGTAAATCTAATGAAGTTACACTGATAAAAAATGTAATGTAGCTTCAGGATAATGGTCCCATAATCCACTAAGGATTAGAGGCTCTGTTACAAAATTTATTACCCATCAAGAGCAAATATGTAAGGCTGCGACTCTCTATTTTATTTAACAAAAAGACCTTTGACTGTCGATTTAAGTGCATCATTTAAATATATGTGAAACTGGAGCACGGAACGGCATGGTGGCTCTGTGGTTAGCACTGTTGCCTCAAAGCAAGAAGGTCGCTGGTTCGAGTCCCAGCAGGCCCAGTTGGCGTTTCTGTTTGGAGTTTGCATCTTGCATGTTGGCATGGGTTTCCTCCGGGTGCTCCGGTTTCCCCCACAGTTCAAAGACATGCGCTATAAGTGAACTGGGTAAATAAAATTGGCAGTATATGTGTGAATGCAAGAATGTATGTGTGTTTCCCAATACTGGGTTGTGGCTGGAAGGGTATCTACTAAAAACATGCAGGATGTAAAGCATATATATATATATATATATATCTTGCATGTTGGCATAAATGTATATATATTATCATTCATTTATTTTCTTTTTGGCTTAGTTCCTTTATCAAAGCGGGGTGGTTTTTATATTTTATGTAGAAAATAATAATTTTTGTAACACTTTATATGTATGTGTGTGTGTATATATATATATATGTATGTATGTATGTATGTATGTATGTATGTATGTATGTATGTATGTATGTATGTATGTATGTATGTATGTATGTATGTTTGTATGTATGTATGTATGTATGTATGTATGTATGTATATATATATGTATTACTTTGAAAGAGATTGTGATGTTGTTTGATGCCTAATAAGCTTTTAATTGTTTCAATTAAACTGAACTGAATGATATTAAAGTGATGTTTACACCATTTCTGCATTTTGAAATCGTGACAACAACTGGAGGTTTGCAATGCACACAGCATGTTGTTGCAAAGTTTACAATGTTGATCCTATATTTCCGTTTTTCTTCCCACCGCTGCCTCGCTTTCGTGTTTTAAAATGGCGACCGTGAGAAATAAGCGTATAGCGCTTGTGTTTGGACTGTGGGGAAAACTGGAGCACCCGGGGGAAACCCACACCAACACTTGGAGAACATGCAAACTCTACACAGAAACGTCAACTGATCCAGTCGGGGCTCAAACCAGTGATCTTCTTGCTGACAGTGCTACCCACTAAGCCACCATGCTACTATATATATATAATGATTTCCAAAATGGGACATTTAATTGTGCATCATGCAACAATTATCCAGGTTAAAGCAGCGATCAAACACCAGCATACACAACAGTTTGTCACAAAAATAGGAAAATTCCCAGCGTGACCCAATTTCCCATGCATTTTGAGGGAACGTTGAAACTCCGGCATTCTGATGCTCCCTCTAGAGATCTGTGCTATATTGAGCAAACAATGCGGTGTTAAGCCTCCATCACCAGCCTGGACTGACTGCAGGCATTGGCTGCAGTGTGCTGAGGATTGCGTGCATGGAAAAGCGAGTTTAAGCGTGTTTTATAAAGGTGAACATCATGTAGTATACTAGTGGCGGTGCGTGGAGCATCATGTTCCCCCAGAGGCAGTAGAAATGTTCCCGTCTCGGCCGTAAGCGCTGCCCATCTGTCAGAGCTGCTACAGGCTGTACAGGTGCACCGCTTTCACATTGCTGGCACATTCCCATAACAGTGCTGTAAGCAAACAAGAAGCCACTGTTGAGTCATTGTGTTTTGATGAAGGTGAACTGTGATTTGTTAAAAAAAATTTGTTGAAAAAGAGTGATTAATTAGTTCATTAATTGATTAACTAGTTATAATGAGGGCACAGTATTATTCATGTGTTGTCTCCAAGAATTTAAGTTCATCAATAAGCTACTTTAAAAATGAATGGGTCAAAGATGGAAAGGCATTTCAAGCACTAAAACGATGTAAGATTAAATTCCCCCTCATATATTAGACTGTGATAATGCTGTATCCGTTTAGGCTCATGTGGTGGTCTAATTCTGGTCTCTTTTCTGTACTGGTTTCATTCCAGTCTCATTACTGAAATGGTCTTGTTCTGGTCTCAACACTAGGTGGTCTCATTCTGGTCTAATTTCTGTGCTGATTTCATTCCAGTGTCATTACTGAGATGGTCATGTTCTGGTCTCATTTTTGTGGTGGTCTTGTTCTGGTCTTAATACTATGGTGGTCTCATTCTGGTCTAATTTCTGTGCTGATTTCATTCCAGTGTCATTACTGAGATGGTCTTGTTCTGGTCTCAACACTATGGTGGTCTCATTCTGGTCTAATTTCTGTGCTGATTTCATTCCAGTGTCATTACTGAGATGGTCTCCTTCTGGTCTAATTTCTGTGGTAGTTTCATTCCAGTCTCGTTACTGAGATGGTCTTGTTCTGGTCACATTTTTGTGGTGGTTTTGTTCTGCTCTCAATATTGTGGTGGTCTAATTCTGGTCTCATTTCTGTACTGGTTTAATTCCAGTCTCATTACGGAGATGGTCTTATTTCTGTGGTGGATTTGTTCTGGTCTCAATACTATGGTGGTCTCATTCCTGTGCTGGTTTCATTGCATTCTCATTACGGAGATGGTCTTCTTCTTGTCTCATTTCTGTGGTGGTCTTTTTCTGGTCTCATTATTGTGGTGGTATCATTCTGGTCTAATTTCTGTGCTGATTTCATTCCAGTGTCATTACTGAGATGGTCTCTTTCTGGTCTCATTTCTGTGGTGGTCTTGTTCTGCTCTCATTATTGTGGTGGTCTCATTCTGGTCTCATTTCTGTACTGGCTTCATTCCAGTCTCATTACTGAGATCGTCTTGTTCATAGTCTCATTTCTGTTGTGGTCTTGTTCTGGTCTCATTTCTGTGGTGGTCTTGTTCTGGTCTCAATACTATGGTGGTATCATTCCTGTGCTGGTTTGATTCCAGTCTCGTTACGAAGATGGTCTTCTTCTGGTCTCATTTCTGTGGTGGTCTTGTTCTGGTCTCATTATTGTGGTTGTCTCATTTTTGTGCTGATTTCATTCCAGTGTCATTACTGAAATGGAAATGTTCATGGTCTCATTTCTGTGGTGGTCTTGTTCTGGTCTCATTATTGTGGTGGTCTTATTTCTGTGCTGATTTAATTCCAGTGTCATTACTGAGATGGTCTCCTTCTGGTCTCATTTCTGTGGTGGTCTCTTTCTGATCTCATTACTGCGGTGGTCAAATTCTTGTCATATGTCTGTGCTGGTTTCATTCCAGTCTCATTTCTGAAATGATCTTGCTCATGGTCTTATTTCTGTGGTGGTCTCGTTTTGGTCTCATTATTGTGGTGGTCTCGTTTAAGTCTCATTTATGTGTTGGTTTAATTCTAGTCTCATTACTCAGATGGTCTTGTTCATGGTCTAATTTCTGTGGTTTTCTCATTTCTATGGCGTTTTCATTTCTGTGCTGGTTTCATCCCAATCTCATTACTGAGATGGTCCTGTTCATGGTCTCATTACTGTGGTGGTCTCGTTTTGAAGTGATTACTGTGGTGGTTTCATTCCAGTCTCATTACAGAGGTGGTCTTGTTCATGGTCTCATTACTGTGGTGGTCTTGTTTTGAAGTCATTACTGTGGTGGTTTCATTCCAATCTCATTACAGATGTGGTCTTGTTCATGGTCTCATTTCTGTAGTGGTCTCGTTCTGGTCTCATAAATGTGCTGGTTTCATTTTAGTCTCATTACTGAGATGATCTTTTTCATGGTCTCATTTCTGTGGTAGTCTTATTCTAGTCCCATTACTATGGCGTTCTCATTTCACTGGTGGTTTCATTCCAGTCTCATGACAGAGGTTATCTTGTTCATGGTCTCATTTCTGTAGTGGTCTTGTTCATGGTCTCATTTCTGTGGTGGTCTCATCCCAATCTCATTTCTGTGCTGGTTTCATTCTAGTTTCACTACTGAGATGGTCTTGTTCATGGTCTAATTTCTGTGGTGGTCTTTTTCTGGTCTCATTACTATGCTGGTCTCATTTCTGTGCTGGTTTCATCCCAATCTCATTACTGAGATGGTCCTGTTTATGGTCTCATGACTGTGGTGGTCTCATTTTAAAGTCATTACTCTGGTGGTTTTAATCTAGTCTCATTACAAAGGTTGTCTTGTTCATGGCCTAATGGCTATAGTGGTCTTGTTCTGGTCTCATTACTGTGGTGGTCTTATTTTGGTCTTATTTCTGTGCTGGTCGCATTTCAGTCTCATTACTGAGATGGTCTTGGTTATGATCTCATCTCTGTGGTGGTCTTGTTCTGGTCTCTTTACTGTGGTGGTATTATTCTGGTCTCTTTTATGTCCTGGTTTCATTCCAGTCTCACTACTGAGATGGTCTTGTTCATGGTCTTATTTCTGTAGTGGTCTCGTTCTGGTCTCATTACTGTGGTGGTCTCGAGTAAGTCTCATTTCTGTGTTGGTTTAGTTTTGGTCCTATTACTGAGATGGTTTTGTTGTGGTCTGATTTCTGATGTGTTTGCATTTAGGTCTCATTCTGGTCTATCATTAATGTGGTGGTCTCATTACTGTTGTGATTTAGTTCTTGTCTCATTTCTGTGGTGGTGTCGTTCTGTTATCATTACTGTGGTGGATTCATTCTGGTCTTATTTTTGTGGTGGTGTCATTGTGGTATCAATACTGTGGTGGGTTTTAGTTCTCATTTCTGCAGTGGTCTTAGTCATTACTGTGGTGGTCTCGTTTCTATGA